GGGGGGGGGGGGGGGGGGGGTGAAGCATGCTGTACAGCAGGCAGACTCTAATTTAATCTGAATTATGGAGCCAACATGCTTTTAATTACATCTTTAGCCATACACTCAAGAGACACTGTCACATCAACTGTGGCCCAATATTTAGAGTTATTTTTATATCACGATTCTACTAGCACCTAAAAGCCAGAGAATACTTCCCGTGATTTGCTGATTGAGTTTTTATTTTAAATTTAATGGAAATGGGGAGGAGGATGCAATTGTTATCATCATTATTTCAAAACAAAAACCTCCCTCGTACAATGTTTATAACCCATACAGTGCCAAATTTTGCCAGTGCCCATGAATTAGGAATTGAAAGAGGCAAGTCTATTTGCACTGTTCAAGCAAAGAATAAAAGAACAAAATGCTAACTTCCACCACGGGGAGGGAGCAGGTGATAAAGTGTGTCAATGAACTCGGCTGGAGAACAGTGGTTTCCCAACTGTGCTCCAACAGGCATTCTGCAAAGAGACTGGAGGTAATGGTGAAGCAAGTTGGGAAGCAATGTGCCACCACAGCCAGGCCAGGTCACCTGGCCCATGGAGACAGGGGGTAGGGTTTCCAGGGCAGAAGAAGTGATGTGAAAGGGTTCTGTGATTTCAGGACAGGGGAGGGCAATTATTTTGGGCGGAGGGCCGCTTACTGAGTTTTGGCCAGCCATTGAGAGCCACATGACAGCTAGCCAGGGGCAGATAAATATTAATTTTCTAAATTTTTTAGGGGCACTGTGGGCTAGATAGAATGGCCTGGCAGCCCCCATTCAGCCCTCAGGCCGCATTTTGCCCACCCCTGCTTTAGGAAGTTTGAAAAGCATTGCCACATGCTTGCATCGACATAGGCTGTATCCACATGTCAATCAAAGGTGTGACCAAAGTCTAGCTAACTTGGGTACCTATAGTAGTCAAGTCGTAATGGTCCAGACTTCAAGTCAGGCTCTCTACCCAGGTAAGCTCTCAGCCTTCTAATAATCTTGTACAGTCCATGCTATTGCCTAGGCTGCTGTAGCTTCAAAGTACTGCTACCCAAGCTAGCTAGGGTAACTTGGGTATAGCTACACTTACTACAATCACAACTCATGTTTGTAGTGCAGTTATGTAAAACCATGCTTGCCCATTTCACGAAATGGTAAAAACCTTGTTTTACATCGACGCATAGAATTTTGCCATATTTAACATAGAATTTAACATAGACTTTTGCCCAGGGTCACTATATCAATATATTGACAGTGATGCATATATCTCTAATGCACTTTTATTCAGGAAGAGAGCCTGGTACTCATATATGATGGTGATGAGCACAGAATAGGTAGCAAGCATGACAAACCCGGACATAATGGTAAGAAATACATCTGAACTGCACTTTTTTATATTCTCCAATGTTACTAGGAATATGGGTGATTTTGTCTGTTTAATATTATTACTGATGATTTTTTTTAAGACTACAGTGTCTCTTTAAACATGCCAAAAATCTATCGCTTTTCCATTGCTACTTTGAAAAAGAACTAACTCAAGCATAAGAGAATTAGTTAAAAACCAGTAACAATGATAAATATCTAGAAGCTGTTTAGTTAAAAGCCCGTTCCGTGTCTGTCCACATTATTGATGGTGACATGCTGAAGCTTTCTGCACAAGTAGAAATCTAAACAATAATTTGTAAAACCATAATATACATGGCAATGTAGCATGTTGGATGAGTGCACTACTATCACAGAAACACTGTCCCCATAGGAAATACTGGTACAATGGTTAGGATGTTAACTAGAGAGATCTGCATTTGGTATCCATACTCTTTCCCAATTTTCTTGTTGAACCTTTGACAAGTCACACTTAATCTTTCTTTGCCCCAGAAAGGCAAGGTGGTAAAAACAGCAGTGATCTGCTCACTAGTGGCACTGTGAGGACAAATACACAGAAGATGGCAGAGAATAATGCAGGATCATTGAAGCATTCTCAGCCCTTGTTGCTGTAAAAATGCTTTCCATTATGTAGCCCATGGGTAGGGATATGAACTTCCCCTTTTCTAAAGCCTCTGAGCTCATAGGGCATTTTATCAATGACCCTAACAGAATGTCATTGGCTCTGACCACATATCCAAGAACAAGGAGAAGCAAAGCTCTCCAGCCGACCAAACACCAGCCTGTTCTGCGACCTTCTCAAATGACTTGTGCCAGCTGTACTCTTCCTCCCTCCGAACACAGACCCACCAGGGCAGTGTTTCTAAACTTCACATAAAGCCATTTCTATCTTAGCCCAAATCCGCTTTGAAAACTGGAAGACCTGTGGTGTTCAGGCTGTTTTAAAAAAAAAAAAAGCTAGGCATGGGCCCATACTGTGAAAACCAGTTTATTTCCCTGGCAACATAAGAAAGAGAAAGAGCAAAGACTGCAATGTTAAATGGCGTTTACATCAACTATATTAGGAGAAATATAATCTGCACCTATACACCCAGTATGTAATTAGAAGGTTTCAGGAATCCATTTACATGCACAGCAGGAATGCTAGCACTACTGAAATGGATCTGGATGATAAACCCAGAGGCAAAACTCACAGATGCTGAGGAAGTTCTGGTTAGGACTGAAACTTCACGGCAGGTCTCCGTTTACAATAGCCCAAACCAAAACACCTGCAGTGACCCCCTGTACCCTTGGTTCAGTATTGCCAACCCCAGGGCTTCCATACCTATGGGTCAAACACCCCCCCACAAAATCAAGTTAATTCTAAAACATCCCAGGATTTTCAGAAATAGTAAATGTTAGGTTTTCTTCATTTGATTCTGTTTTTTTGAGTCTTCAGGATTCATATTTTCTCGTTTTTCTCCATAAGCTGGATACTAAAATATTCCCTTTTCTCACGTGAACCGAGATTCTCATATAACCACGTCTCCAGAAGCTAGGACTTAAGAGAAGCCCCAAAAAACTCAACATTAAAACTTAAAGAGCTTGTTAACTGGTGGCTGTACACACATAGGTCATGTTCAGATGTAGAAGCATGTGGTGCCACAAACCAAAAGTGTTGCACGTTAAACTGAAAGGGGTGCTGCTAATTTGCAGCGTGGGGGCAAAATCTGCTACTGAGATTTCCTGGTAGTAACCCCGCCTTGAAAAAAGGTGGCACAAAGCACGCAAAAATTGCACGTGCTGGGATAAATGAGGAGACGGGAGAGCAGGCAGCCTAGGGTTATCTGCTCCCCCATCTCTGCGTGCCGCTCCCCCGCTAGCTGGGGCGCAAGGTACATCAGTGTGGGAGCTGCCTGCTGGCTAGACCCGCACTGAAGCACACTGTGTCCCAGCCAGCCCCCTCCGCCAGCTGGGGGCCAGGAGGAGCTGGATATGGCCTGCAAAAAAGGGTTTTATGCAGGCCTGTGCGCTGAGACACAAAGCAGCAGCACAAATTTGTGCTGCTGCAAGCGCGTGCTCCTGCACGTCTGGACGCAGCCATAGAGACTATTGTATGTGCAACTCCATGCTCAATACTCTATCACCACATGAGCTAAAGTGGTAGCACTGTTATATATAGAGTGTAAGAAGCTTTTCCTGTCACACAAGTCAGTCACTAGAGGGAGATACTCAGATGCATTACAAACACTTACTCTTGTGCTTAACTTCAAGGGTGCCTACAGATATGGGGAGAAAAACCCCCCAGAGCTTTACCTTCAGCTAAGCATGTCCCCACACCAGGTGTAGCACATTCCCAGAAGAGGAATCATGTCAGTTTGACCCGGCTCGCCCAGTGTCTGTATAGCTCATGTGCTTCAGCAGGGCTTTTTGGCACTTATCTAAAAGCTGATTGAATCCATTGAACTGAATCACTGATTGAAATTAAACTGAAATTAAAGAATTCTTTTTTGCAAAAATCTTGTTGGTCCAATAAAAGATAATCACACCCCTACCATGAGCCCAGATTGCTTTTTCCTTTAGACCAATATGGCTACAACCTGGATACCTGCTGAAGCATGTGAGCTATACAGGCACTGGAAAGCCGGGTCAAACTGATGCAATGCCTCTTCCAGTAAAATGCTGGGGGTGGGGGTGGTTTCCATGTCTGTCTGTCAGCACCAAGTGCCTGAGATACTCCATTCACTTCAACAGGGTTATCCATCAGCTTAAGGGTAAGAACATAAAAAAAAAAACAAGTGCTTTCTGGCTAGGGTTAAGGCAGTGTATTTTAGGAAGCCCCTTAACTCTTGAGTCTGGTTTTGCACAGCAGTTTGGGAACATGCCAGTTACTGATCTTTCAGCAACCTATCTGCTCTCCTAAAAGTTCAACTGTATGGGGCCTGACAGGGTCCCACCATCACCGGGCAAAGGGAAGGGGTAGTGCGTGAAACCCAAGCAATGTACTGAATGTGATGCATCACCCCCCTGCTCTCTTCTTCCCCAATCCCTGTGCACAGCACACAAACCAGCTTGGTAAAACTGTCCTTGCTCCAGGTAGAGACAGACAAGTCATTGGTGCCTTACCCTGATAAGACGCCCAGCACCAAGTTGAGCATGAAGAAAGAGCCAATGATGATGAGAGGGATGAAGTAGAGCCAGTTCCAGGTATTTCCTGCTGCATCATTGGTCTGGAAATAGAAAGAAAAGTAATTTTTGAATCAAGTTCCCAGAAATCCAAACATCCCTCATAAAAGACCTGCAGTGCAAGGGGCAGTGGACTTCCACAGGATAGCTTTCAGCCAATGCCATTATTAATTAGCACTTTTCTATGTGCAGGACTTGAAATGAAGTCTGGAATCCAAGTAAGAGAATTCATTGAGCAAACGGCATTGGCTTAGTTCTCGTTGTACTGTGCATGAAATGTCCCCGTCGCACAACTACTACCAACTCCAGAAAAAAAGAGCCATCTCTGATTGAAAGGACCATAAGCCTGAGGCTTAATACCCACTTTTAAATGAACTAATCCAGTCATTCCCCTTTTTGGGGACTGAGAAACAGTCCCTTCATTCCAATATCCTCCCCTTCCACCAAACGCTTGAGTTACCCAATGTTACGTCTGAATCAAAACATAAAACAAGATGAGGAAGATGCACTCTTCTGCCAATTTATGCGTTGCATGCAATTAATGCAGCATGGAGCAGGGTGCCCAGAACTCACACATATACACAAAAGAGAAGTTGACAGAAAGACTGCAAGAAAATGAGGTCAACTTGATCTTCAGAGCAATGCCAGCTTCACACCTGCTTACTCAGCGCTTTGGAACTCTGTCATCAAACCCAGACTTTCAAACTCTCTGCATAAGCAACTACATGCCTTTTGGAAGGGAAAGTTAGTTTTCGGTAAAGTTTCTGCATTCTTTGATCACAAGGGAGCTGTTGTTTAAGGGACTGCTGAAAAATAAAATGCCATGTGGCCACAATCCAAGCCAAGCGCCTGGAAAACTTTGGTTTTTTTCTCTTGTAAATGAAAAATGCAGCAACTTTAGAATCAGCCTATTGGGCATTTAAAGGTAAAAAGCATAGGAAATCAGCATCGTTCCATCTGCAGTAGTTAAAGAATAACAATTCCATCATATTTAACACAGGGGCTGAAATGCCCGATGGCCTATAAACAGCACTTGCCAGCTACTGCACAAAAGTGTCCACACAACCGCTGGTTTGAACAAAACCCCTTAATTCACTTTGACATAGACCCTCTATGGAAAGGACAGAAGGAAGAAGGGTGGAAGGACAGGAGGACAGAAGAAAGGAGGGGAAATGTAAAGAAAGGAGACAGGAAGCAGCAGCAGGTAGAGAGAAAAGCAGAAATAAAACAAACCAGTTGTCCCAAGTGCCCTAAAAGCAATTAAAAATATGCCCTTTCCAACAGATGTCAACCTCTTGCTGCCCAGTATTTTCCCTCCCTTTGCAGTTTTCTTGTCTTTCTCCACTTTTCCCTTTTTTTGCTTTTAGTTCCGCCTCTTCTGCTCTCCTCCCCTTTTCTCCCCTGCCCTTCCACAAAATTGTTTTGAACACACGAGAAAGGAGTGCAAACACTTACGTCATTATTCAAGTTTCTATTCCCACATGCTTTGGCTATGCTGCTAGTATCGATATTAAATGGTAAGTGACTGGTGAGAGAGTATTAAAAGTCCCCTCTTGTACTGCATTTATAGCAAAACATCAGTCTATGACAGCATAAGCTAAAGAACTTTGGCTCTTTAGCCCAAGCTGTAGAAGCTCATATTTTTACCTTTGGAGGTCCCATTTGACCAACTTGACAACTGTCGCAGCTGTACCTAAAGTGACTTCTTTCCCAATGGCAGGCCACAGCTGGGAATTGGAGTTGCTCAGCCCAACTCAGGCAGGAGTAAAAGGGGTGAGTTGGGGTGGGGGAGCAGAAGCTGGAGCAGGAAGGAAAGGAACAGATGGCAGAAGGAAATCCATATAAACCTCACATGGAGAGCGCATGATAGGTTACAGTGCTGCCAAATGATCATTTATCATTTATTTATTCATTTGAAACCCAAGCTTGGTGACAGATCCATGCTTCAATTCCATGATCAAAGCCTTTAAAGCAGAACATGTAGAAAAGGATCTAATTAAACATCTTCCTCTGGGTGTTTGCACAGTTACCTTATGCTCAGGGCTGGGCTGGGTCTTGCTCTGTGCTGTCACATGCACAAAGGGTTCAAGGTGCTGGCAGAACTACACAAGAGAGAGGACAACGTACTCTAGGAATCTTCCCCATAAGGGTAGATTTTTCCTGTTAGCAGAATATATTTTTTTCAGTGGCTCCAAAATTACTTGAGTCTGAACCCGTTCCATGGCACCTCTTCTGCTCTGGTGATATGCTTTAATGAATCAAATTGTTGCACTGCCAGGAAAAACAGAACTGCCAACCCTCAGTAAAACACTGTGTAGCCTTGCAGCCACATCTGAGATTGCTGGGCAGAGGAGGGCATAACTCCATGAGCAAAGCAGCTGGGCTTGCCTCACATCCCGGCTCCAGTCCTGCTCATTAAGTGGGGGAAGCCAAAAGATCAAATCAATTTTTATGGTTCCAGCTAAAATATTTTATTAGTTTAATGTTTGGCTGCCTGTTTCTGATGCACAGTCCCAGTCATGCATCTCACTTGATAGGGAAGAGCTGGAAATAAAAGACTTTTAATGATGTGACAGTATTATATCAAAATGCAGAAGGGAACTTATGGAAGACTCACAGCATCCTCATCGCATGCAAACATCTGCTATACTCACATCCTCCGCAGCAACGATATAGCATGTTAGGAGCACTATTTGAATAATCCTTTTGTGCCTACCAAGCTATGGACCCTTTGCCAACAAGAGATCTGAACATCTTGTAGTCATACTGCCCCTTCAAGTGAAAGAACTGCTATGATTCTCATTATTCACATGGGAAACTGAGGCACAGCTTTCTCATTCAGTGTTTAAAAGATGTTCAAATGAACCTCCATTATTAATTCAAATCAGATGCTTTCCTGTGCTCCATCACTTTTGCCATTCAACCTAAATGATCTTCTCTCTCTCATGTCAGCGTCCCCTTAACTTCCTCTCCTGTCTTGCCATTTACTGGCCAGAGCGCTGCTTGAAACAGCCAGCACCACTGGGAGTAGATTTTTACCTTCTGCTCATTAGTTCTTTGCATTATCTGTTTTAAATTCCTGAGAGCATCATTCTCCCTCTTGCCTTTTATGCAGATCTAAGCACATTGGTAACAGTCAACAGGTAACATCTAAGCTGACCAGCTACTCTGTGGCTAGGGACAGATATTACATATAAACCAGTTTAAATCATCAGAAACTGGTTTAAACCTGTAACAGACTTTCAGTGCACACAAATCAGTTTCAAAATGGCTGAAACTCATTTAAGATAAACCTGGCTGAATGTAGTATCAGACTTAACTGATCTGGATCAAACCGGTTGATGAAACTTCTATCCCAGACCCCTTCCTGGTTTAAGTTAAATCACAGTCCCCCAGCATCCCAGCATGCTTTCTGGCTGGGTTGAGCTGTGCTATCTACTCCAGCAAAGAAGGGTTATGAGGGGAGAAGGGGGGCAGGGTCTGTGCCCCCAAGGCAAATCGTGGCTGGGATCTGGGGCCAGGAAGGTGGGTTAAACCCTCCTTCCCCTGAGTACAGAGCTGCCCTGCCCTGCTAAACTGCTGGTTGCAGCTGGGGATTACAAATGCCAGAGGCACCTGGAAACAGGAAGAGGAAGTAATGAGCAACCCTGCAGAGTTCTGCTGCTGTGAATCTGGACTAAAAATCCCAGAGAACTTGGGGACAGCAGGAATAGGAAGCAAACACACAGTCTATGCCAGCTACATGCTAGAGAACCATGCTTTAGTGCCCACCCCCCCCCGGGCTCTTGGCCTGAGCCACTGCAGGCATGTGGCTGCATTTCCTGAATCAAAAGTAAATGTCTGTCCAGCTACTTCTCAGTTTAATCTTTGAAGCTTAGACTAACCTGCAAAGACTGAATTGATTCAGCTTCAGGCTTTTTGACTGTCTGTACTTAGCCTGTAAGCCCTATGCTCAACTCCTGATAGCAGGATGTCCTAACCCTGGAACCTCTGCTGAACATCAGGGTGTTAAGATGACCTCACCTCATTCTGCAGCTTGTCTAGAACTTACCCGGGTGAGCAGGAAGCACAGGAAGTCTGCTTACAGATACCCCACTACTCCCTGCTCTTGACAGCTGGGACTTTTGCATTCCACTTCTTCTGTCTACGGCCCATAAGTAGAGAAAGGCCCAGAAGAAGAGAGAAATAGTTTGCAAACTAATTCACAGAAGATACCTGAAAGGGATCCTGGGATACATTTTAGTACTATGCTTAAAATATAAGAATCACAATGCAGGTGACTCCGGTATGGGCTACAAACTACAACACAAGTCATAGCTGATTGAAGACAGCCCCAACCTGACTCAAAATCCCCACTGACAAAAAAACAGTATTGAAGTTGCTTAGTAAGTATAGGATGACTCCCAGGTGACTTGACTGACATCAAAGAAGTTTGGAATTAAAATTCACACATTCCTGTCACCCAGACCTGTTCTACAGCCACAAGATGATTGGCTTTGTTCCACTGGCAAGATGGCAGTCTCTGTCGGCCTGCTAATTCATTCAAAATTATGTCTTAAAATAATTTGCTTGAAAAAATTTACTCCTGCTTGCAGTCAGCTGCAGCAAGTAGCTTTTATGTCACCCTTCAGCTTTACCTTTTATAACCTGAATCTTGAAGCATGTTCTTGAACACAACCCCATTGGTGCTTCCGTAACACACAAAATGCAAGAAGACAGAACCTGCAAATCCAGCTGTACTGAGAGGAGGTTGTCACTCTTACCAGTGTGTCTTGCTGCTGAGCAGAAGTGATGGATACGTTCAGTTCAACCCAGTTCCATCAAGCATAAGATGGGATTTCTTCTCCAGCCAACACAGATCAGCAGTGACCTGCCTGCTCAATCTGATCTTCCCTACTCCATGTATGTCATGACAGGGAAATGTTTTCCCTCTAGGGACCCTGCCAACTTTCAGTTCTGTACTTCCTTTGGTGGAGGGGAACACCTGGGGAGCTTAACAAATCTCAGCATAGCAGCTAAATCCCATATTCCATTTACTTCAAAA